GCGCGAGCGCGGTCCTCGGCGGAGGCGCGCGCCTCCTGAGCGGCGATGTCCGCCAGCAGGTCAGCCATCGCGTTGCCCCTCAACGCGGCGCCAGGGGCCCGCCTCGCCAGCGTCTCCCCAGCGGCGAGCGAGGTGCGAGCCGACGTGCTCCACGGAGACCTCGCCGCGAGGCCAACCACTCAGCGCCAGGCTGGCGCGATGCCACAGATCCGCAGCGGGCCCTGTCGGCCACTGATCGAGCCATTGCCACCGGCCCACGCAGACGGCGAGGTTGTCAGTGTAGGAGAACATAAAGCCCTCGGAGGGCTCGAGGGCGAGCAGGGGAGCCCGTAGCTCACCTCGGTGAACTGTCCGCCGTTCGCCCGCCAGGCGCCCAAACGGCGCCGCGCGCAGACGGGCAGCGTCGTCGCCCACAAGGCGCGCTGCTAGGCCCACGCGCCTCAGGGCGGCGACTTGGACTCAGGGCCGCCGCTCGCGTCGCCGAAAAGCACCCGGGGCTCGACAGCCGCGCCGCGCCTGAACCGCTTGGCCCAGCAGCAGGAGCCCGCAAACGTCAGGGGCTCCCGGGCAGGCGCCGCAACCGCTGCCGCCCGCGCTGCTGGGATGAGGCCTCGCAACCAGAAGCGCGGCACGGCCTCCGCCTCCGCCCGAGCGTGAAAGGTGAGATGGTCGCTCCTGGAATAAGCCGTGCTGCCGACTTTTCCTTGGCACTCCAAGTCCCGCGAGAGTCGGTCTCGACGGCACGCGCGCACTTTTGCGCCGCCGCTGCTTGGCCCAGGCGCCGCCGGCAGCAATGGTCAGCATCATCTCATCGAGCGCAGATCCCCGCGGCGCCTGCCGCGGAGCGCCCAGAGGGCCCCGCGCGGTGAGGTGGGCGCCGCCCTGCGCGCCCTCGCCTGCCCAATGGTCGTCCGCAGCTCCCCCCCGCACCCCGTCGACGACGGCGCGACCGAAGGCGTCCGGAAGCGGAGCAACAGGGCCAGCTAGCTGGACGTCGCCAGCAGGGAAAGCCCATCGCTCTTGCCGCTCATCTGGGTGAACTCGCATCCAGCCTCTATGACCTACAGAGGGCCAGTCGTGCTCCAGCAGCACGGTCTCGACGGCAGAAATTGGCCCACAAATCCACCGTGACCGCTGCTGAGGAGACAGATCGCCAGGCTTGGCATGAATGGCAGCCCACGCTTGCTTCGCTCGCTGTCGTCGCAGGCTGAGACGGCTGAGGCTGAGACTCAGACGGCGCCGAACCGCTGGCGTAGGCGTGGGCGAGCCTGGCCGAACACGCCGTGTATCTGGTGCCCGCGCGTCACGGACGCCTGCCTTGGCGCGCGCTCGAACACGGCGCGGGCCCTGCACTTTTTAGAGGCCCTGACGAAGCCCAGCACGCCGTAGTGGGAGCCGCCGATGCCTCGTGCCCGGCTGGCCGCAGGGCCCGTGCCACCCATTGAGCTTCCTGGTGGTAGTTGCCGATGAGGACGCTCTTCGGGGAGACGGTGAGCCCGCTAGCGACGATGACGTCGCAGGTGAAGATGGCGCGCTTGGCCAGCTCGATCATCAACCTCTTCCTGGGACCGACGGCAGCTTACGAGAGATCATCGATCCAGAGGCGCGGCGGCAACTGGGTGGGCGGCGCTACCTGCGTCACCTGGATCACGATGAGGGAGAGAGATTAGGCACCGCGCGAACATCGCGCCCTCTCGCAGGCCCTGCGCCATGGACCACGAGGGCTGGAAGGCCAGCGACGCCGTCTGGTCGCGCGCGAGCACCCTGGCGGCCAGGCATTGCTGGAGCTCGCGGGAGTCCCAGCTTGAGCGCCGCGCGGCCGAGCTTGACCCAGCACGCCAAATTGTGGAACGACTTGAAATCGAGCGCATCGGGTGGGCGCGCGCGAAGCCCAGCGCCGCGTGGGCCTCCTCGTCGACCGCCCTGACGGATGCCTCGAAAACGGCGGGGTTGCCCATGGCCGCGACGTCCCGAGCTGGGCAAGCACCCTCAACCCAGCCCCGCGCGTCGGGCTCTCGGGCCTGGCTCCAAGCCCGCGCGACCATCGGCAGAAGACCGATGGCCCGCTCGCCTCCGTTCTCCCCGCCCAACGCGCGCCCGACCACGACCAGCAGGTTCCGCGGCCAGGTGCCGCAGCCCTCGGCGGCGGCGAACAGCTGGCGCAGCTCCTCGGCGGCCTTGTCGGGCAGACGCTCGACGCCGGTGGGCCGGAGCTGGTCGGCCCCGCACCCAGACCGCGGCCGCGCGCGGCGGAGGGCACTGCGAAGCCTGGCAACGTCGAGGGGCTCGAGCTCGGAGAACGCGAGGCGGCCGCGCAGCTCCTCGACAAACAACACGCATCGAGCTCGTCGAGGTCGACGGGGGCAAGGGCATGGGACCACAGCGCGTGACGCTCCTGCGCTTGGGCATCCATGACGTTGCGCGGGCGCACGACGACTCCATGGCGTTGCGCGGGTGCACGACGACTCCGACGGGGGCATGCAGCTCCTCGGCGGGCGCGGCAGTGCGCTTGAGCGATCTGAGCAGGGCTGAACTGACCTTGTCGGCGGTGATCCAATCCTGGAATCGCGTTTACCACTGCCGAAGCGCTCGCCCTCCAACCAATCTGACCGCGCCGCCGGAAACGCCCGCCAGCTGGCGCGCGACGCCGGGAGAAGACGAGCGCGCGCTGCGGGGGCGCCGTCGGAACTCTCGCCACGACAGCGCGCGACCCTCCGCGCATGGCCGCGCTCGCTGAAGGGAGGCCCGTCGATCGTCATCAGGTATGCGTCGCGGTCTACCAGGCGGCGCTCGTCTGCAAAGGCCCGGATGTCGCGCTGCTCGAAAAACTTGCGGCCCCCCATCGAGCATGCCCACGGCCGGGCGAAACTCGGCGAGCTTCTGCAGCGTCGCGCGAAAGGCGGGGGAGTAACCGCTGTCTCCACTCAGTGAAGTCTCTCGGCGCGCCAAGCTCCGCGGGCTGCTTGCCGACTGCGGCGGTGGGCATGCGCGGCGGGCTCCGCGCGAGCAAATCAGCGCCCGCGCATCTCGTTGACAGCAGTGATATGGCGACGGTCCACATGATGAGCCGCTGACTGGGCCGCAGCGTCCCAGGGCTCAGGGCTTGGGAAGAACCCCGTTGCCCGGCGATCTCGTGGGCTGGCAGGGGATGCGCGAGGCACCGACGAATCGCCAGCGACGTCGTTGTCCTCCGACTAGGGGCGGAGCGCAGCGCTGCTACCCTCGCACGGCCAGGCCAGCTTCACCTATCGGTGGCTCGCCCTTCAAACCGTCGACGACGGGCCCCTCATCTGGCGCGTCGAGGTGAACGGCGGGCCGCGGCTGAACGCCCCCTGGAAGTGCCGCCGCAGCAGCGGGAAAATCAGCGAGAACAGCTGCGTCGCCCAGGTCGCGCGCGAGGGGCGGGGCGCAATCAGGATCGTCGAGTGTTATTTCTTTTTATACAAATAACATATTGAACAGGATTTGTTTCTCAATCGCAGCACGGCCACGCTGCCTGTGACGAGACCGGCGTCGAGGGGCGCGCAGGGCCAAGGCTCGTCGCCCCCGTCTTTCTCGAGGAACGGATCGCCGTCGAGGTCGCCGGGGGAAGCGCGAGCCCCGCGCGCAGTAGTCGCCGCCGCAGAAGGGCCCTGCACCTCGGAAGGGGCCGCGAATCTCGCAAGCCCTGCGGCCCCCCCTCGGCAATGGTCTCGCCATAATACGTGCCCCCAGGGCTGCGCGAGAGGCGACGGCGCAGACGTCGCGCAGCTCGCCGTCGACGCCAGGAGGCCGGCCCAGTTGACGACGCGGTCGCGGCGCGCGACGTCGCCGGGGGGTCCGGGCCCGTCCTCGCCATGGCCGCGCGGCCCCCGCTCCAGCTGGCCATCGCTTCGGCGTCGCCGCGCTGGCCGACCTCGCGCCCGAACGCGCCCGCGGTGCAGTTGGCTCGCTTCTCGCGGGCCAGCGCGCTGAGCCCTGGCGTTCTCCCCCTTGCCAGGCGCGCGAGTGGGCGGCGATCTCGGCGTCGGTCGAGTGAGCGAAGGACGCGCGGCAGGAGCCACAAGTTGCCCCGCGTGCATCTGCTCGCTTGGACCTCTGAGCCCGACAACGAGGCCACAGTGAGTCTTCCAGGGGGCGGCCTGCTCGTC